ATGTCTCTGTGTGTCTCTGTGCGTGTTCGGCAAATTAAATAAATATTTAAATATGAACTAGCTTAATCAATGCAAATGATGTGCTCTAATTTGGCAGTTTATTTTAACGTTTCATGTTTCATAATTTGTGTTTGCTGTGTTGACACGTCTTACTCGTGTCATTTCTCGTATTAATCGTTTCGTTTTATTTAAAACAAAAACCCCATAAAACCGTTCAACAATTTCGCAACTGGCAGTGCGCATTTTTGGTGTGCTCTATAAACTATAAACTATAAACTGACTTCCTTGTTTGTATATAGGTATGTGGATAGCATCTACCACCCGCCATAGTTGAAGAGCTTCTGCTTTGTTAACAGACAACTCATAATGACTTTAGCCTCAGTGCCACAATTAACAAGTTCTGAGTGCCTGCTTTAAGGCTGATACTAATTGAAAGTGCACACGGTATGCTGACCGCTCTTTTACCAACTGTCACCTCTTGAGGAATTATTGCCATCGCTCGTTCAGCTCCATTGTTTGGTCCATCTCGGAAAGTTCGCTTGCTCTTCGGTTATCTGGTGTGGCCAATTTATTGCTCGCCCAGTCGAGTGGCCCCGACAAGCGTTCGTTTCATCAGAACCGTTACATTTAAATTGCCCATTCACCATCTAGTAGCTTCTACATACATTTGTACTACACACACAAAGCAGAAGCTCTTTAACTATGGCGGGTGGTAGATGCTATACACATACCTATATACAATATATGCATGTATATGTGTATCTGCATACTGTTGAAGTAGTTGACTCATCGACGCCATTGGCTGCATATTGAGGTTGTCGTATTGTCTCTGCTCGTACTATACGCTCCCACGCTTCAAATACATATTTACATACACACACATTTTTGCACATGTGCATATGAAAGTGACTCAGTCGGCACAGACGCGCATACACACACACACAAACACAGATTTGCAAATTTGCAACTACAGTCGAACCTCACTAGCTTGAACTAATTGTTTAAAATACCATTGAAGGTGAAAGGTGAATGTATTGAATAGTCAAATAATTGTGAATTATTTGAATAAAAAAATAAATAAAAACCAAACTCTTGAAAGAAATATGTCAACAATTTGGGGAAGTACGGACTTATAAAGTGCAAAGAACGAGAACGATAACAACAAAAGCAAAAACAAAAACAAGAGCAAAAACAACAATTGCAATACTGTGATTTCGAGCTCTGTTGTATTTGTGTTTACAAAATGTTTAAACGAGAACGCCTTTCCCGGTAATTTAAGGCATTTTTGTGTTCATAAGTATTTTGTTAAGCTTCGTAAACAAATCACGTATAACAGCAACAGGCGGCAGCAAACAGTGCGAAGCGGGCAGACAGCAAGAGCAGCAACTGCAGCAGCAGCCGTCGGATTGACTGGCGCTGCAAAAATCGATGGCGAAGCGTAGCTTGTTGAATGGCGCGTTGCGCGGGCGCAACCCAACAGCACACACACAACATGCGAATGCGCACACTCACATACACTCAGAAAAAAAGTTTTCCACAGATTAGGAAAAGAAAGGCGGCTGCTTGCAAAACTCAAATATACACAGATTTTATCTCTTTTAATTTTTTTTAAATATTCTCTATTATTAAGGAAAACATTTCTAAAAAAATATAAATTCAAACTCCAATTTTTACGAAAAATCCTTTCTAAAATTCAGAAACAAATAATGTAATTTACTGGCTCGGTCTTATATTATAGCTTAGCTGTTGGCTGTAAAATGCTTGTATTATAAAATATAAGTAACAAATAAAGTTAAGGTAGTAGAATATTATTCTATGGTGCACACTTAGAAAACAACACACCGGAAATTAGACAACTTTTTGGCATATTTTACAAAAATTCACTCTGCAATTTAGACATGCAAACCCTTGTTTTTAGAAAGGCGCAATCATAAATTTCAGAAATTCACCTTCTGAATTATAGGGTGCTTTACCATTGACGTCAAATATGTGGCGATTTCCAAAAGTGTATTTTATGAGTGAACCCACAAACATGTTTACAAATATGTATGTATTTCTCACTGTTGTTTCTGCTTTCAGTGCTGCGTCGGCGTTCTTCGATTTTGAACATGTCCTTTTACGCAGTGAAGCATTTGTGTTTATCATGAAGTATGCAACGCATATGTATGTACATACAAATGGATGTTAGATGATGTATTCCGTTTGTACACCTAGCAACATATGTCTACTTATACGTAACAATATGTGTAGATAGATTCATATGTATATCAAATACAAAATATTGAAACTTTAAATTTCCACATGCAGCGATTATTTAGATTTATAGAGTATTTAATCTTCGTCTCATTTTTGTCCTTTCCACTTTCTGCAATGCGCTTTGGTCCATTTTGCATGCATGCGCAAAAGCTCGACGCGTCATCGCTGTCCGCTTCTCTGTTTTCTTCTTGCCATTTATTACTTCTCATTGTTGCTCTTCTGCTTGCGGCGGCTGTTCTTTTTTTATTGTTGTTGCTTTCCTGATTAACACTTTGCTCGCAATGCGAAAACCTGCATGTTATTGAGTTATGTTTGTCCAAGTCAGTGAAGTCTACATATATTTGGCTAAATTCATAAAATTTATGACTTGCACATCTTAAACACAAAGCCACGCATATATATCGCACAGGCTGAGATCTACTTGCTTTATAATCAAAAGGCTCATATCTGGCTGAAAATCTGTGTCTGTACCGATAACAGAGTATTGTGCAGTCTATAGATTTTAGCCGTTGCGTTTTTACATTTTTTTGTTGGTTTTCTTGCGCCAGTGCCGGCCGGCATTTTTAACCGACTGCGACTCAGACTTCGTCTGTCTGCGACTGAGTCTGCCGGAGCAACGGCAAACAACGATTGACTCGCAATACACATTCGCAGGTTTTTGAACTTGCACAAGGTACACATACACACACACGCATACTTAAGCAATGTCGCGGCGTCTGCGCCGGCGCATTGGCGTGCAATTTGCACGCGTTCGCTTTTGTTGATTTCTTGATTTCTTTTATTTTGCCTTTCCTATACCCTGTATAAGTTTAAATGGGTAAAAGGGGATAACATGTAATACTACGAAAGTATGCAACAGAAGGATACTCCTGCCACTCCACGTATGTATCTAGTTGTGTCCGAGTGAGGGAGAGAGAGAGACAGAGAGAGTGAAAGCTTTGAATGATGATGAAAATAAATATCGATTTGGAAACTGCGTTTCTTGCTTTCCGCAATTTCGTGTAGTTGCGTTTGTAATGATTTTGAGTGCATAACGCCGAGATTATTGTCCTTTATGTATACTTTCCCAAAGTTCAAGAACAACCTAAGCATACTACTACCTACTCCCATTCGGGTAACAGGGTATCTGCTGAACGGATAATTACGATTGCCGCGCTCTTGTTAGTTTTTTGTGTATGTAATTTCTTCTTCTTCGCTCGGTCGCTCGTCGGTTGTTGTTTCTTTTTCTGTTGTGCTTCCTCCCTTTGCACATTTTTGAAATGCTTTGCGGTTACTTTTTTCGCTAGCTTTAATTTGTTGTTATCTTTCCGTTGCGTTTCGTCTGTCGGCTGCTGTCGCTGCTGCAGCGACTTTGATTCACACAAATAATGGATGGTCTTTTAACTACAAAGTGAATACGTTTGTTCTGCGAACGAACGAATGTCGGAGCTGGAGCTGGAGCCGAAGCCGAAGCCGGAGCCCAGGCGTGTAAAAGCGCAAATATTGCCGCTCCTGACGACATGATTAGTATCCGGTTTGTGGCCACGACTATAGTAGCGAACTGCTGGGTCCATAACTGTGCCACTCACATCATAAAATCGTCCCTAAAATGTATATACTGTGCTGGCAATTAATTAAAATTTGTAAATTATTGCCACATACTGTTTTGCATCGGCAGCCCTTTCTTTCCGCAAATTTATTTTCAATCTTAATGGCGCCATTTCATTAGCAGCATCGCTTCCCGGTTTCTGTTTATGTTTCTGTTCTCCTTCCACATGCCAGCCATTTTACATTTTACAATTCTCGCACAGCCTGCGCCCAAAAGCAGACAACAAAACGCACATCGGCAATCGGCCTGCGACAAGCAGTGTTGTATAGTGGGCATTGGACAGTGTGCAGTGTGCTGTGTGCAGTGTTCATAAGCATCAATTACTGTCAATTGTCTCTTCCATAATTCGCACAACAATAATAAATATTCTCACATATATTAAAATGTAAGCTTAAATTGCAATGAAATATTGAAATATGTTCTATGTTTATCAATATGAAATGACATTAAATATCTTGCACGAAATATTTGTAATTTGGTGAAATTCCTTTTCATCAATATTAAAAATGCATGATCTGTATCTGTCAAAGCTAATAACCACATTAACATGAGTCAAAGCATTATACTGTCTATAAGAATCCGCTCAATGTCTGACAAGACTCAAAACTTCACTATAAGCTGCTTAGAAATCACTGCACGTCTGGCAAAAAGAAAAGAAGAATTGTGAATTGTGAGTGACACTTAATGAACGCTGTTGCCAACTAACTTAACGACAAACCAATTAAACTTGAAGTTTAGATGAACTTTGACTAGAGCGAGAAAAGGTGTATGCAAATGCAGCATCTACTTAAAATCAGTAAATATGTGTTAATATATTGTGGTGGAAATACTTTTGACTTCATTGGGCTTAGCCACTCTTATCCAGCTGGCTGGCAGGCGGACTGCCTTCTTGTAGTAAATACGTATCAAAAGCGTGGCGGCTCCGAACCGGTTCCGGTTTGGACATTAACATTTATCCCTGCTCAATGGCTTGGTATCGTTGTAAATTTTGCCTTAAATTGCTGCCCCATTGTCGTCGGCTCATTCTGTGATGCATCCCCGCGGAACGTAGTGACAAAAATACACACACACACACACACACACACACACTCAAACAATCAAACGAGCACACAACACTTAATTTTTGACAAAACAATTAATGTTTATTTTTGCATTTTAATTTGCCAACATTAATTGCATGTTTATTGAGCCGACGCTTGAGCCATTGTTGAGCCAATGAACCGCCCGCAGTTAGCCTTGAGCCACCGAATAAAAAAAACCACACTGATGATGATGATGACGATGAAGCAGAAGATGTCGCCGAAATCCGCTCAGATGTCAAACAGTGTTTGTGATATTGTGGATATTGTGGATGTGGCATTGATGGCTGGTTAGGACTTTGTCGTCAGGGTCATGGCCATTAGTACGATGAACGCCGAATTGGCCAGCAGATTGAAGTGAATGCCTAGACCCTCCCAGTAATATTCGAGCATGACGGAGCCGTAGCGTGCAGCCATTGCAATTGCCGCCATGCTACCGCAAACATTGCTCGACTGATTGACGCCCAGAAAGAGCAGCGATACCACATTGCCGAGCAGCGTCAGATCCTTGAGCGTCGCCGTTGAATTGTCCTCGCTGTCGCGCCACTTGGCAACCAGATCGAAGGCCAACGGTATCACAAAGCAGCCATGCGCCATTGCCAGATGCGGACTGGACGATTTCAGATACAGCTCGATGTTGGCCAATGGCAACGGCACCAGCTCCATAACACCGGACGTTATCTGCCGTGCGCGATTGCATTCATCATCATCGTTGTTTGCCGCCCGCACCACACCCAGCAGTCCATGCACCAGACTCAATGCGGCCGCCGCATAGCCGTAGGGTGTTTGCCACGGATGCAGCGTGTACATCGCATAGCCGGAGCTGACCACCAGCAAGCTGTTGAACAGTGCGTCCATGAACAGCATCTTCCAGATCTCCCGATTCTTGAGTTCTTCTTGCTCTGCCAGTTGATTTTCTCTCTCACTCTCTCTCTCTCTCTCTCTCTCACAGTCAGTGCAACAGCTGCAGCATTACTTCGTTGTGTCGCAATGCATCCGTTAATTGTAGCTGGTGGCGCTTATTGCTATTGCGGCTGGCTGCCAATTTCTGCTGGTTTCCGGTTTCGTCTCGTCGGCCTGGTTGTCGTCTTTGTGTACTTGGGCTGTTCGACTGGTCAACGAACACGGCAAATTTTGTGTTATTGAAAATGTTTCAGCCACATCTCTGATTGTTGTGACAGCTCAGGCGATGCTCTGTTACATCAGGCCAGTTATTACAAATATATATATACATATAATATAGGCAGGCAAATGACGTAGGCACGAAATATACACTCAAAGAACAATTAAAGTATTTTGCACTCGCATCAAGTTTATACACTGTCAATATCTGCACCAGAGAATGATACCAATTTTTCAGGACTTTTTCTATATAAACTAAGTTCAATTATTGTTATATTAAAGCAACTGCATTCTCAAACCAACTTCACTGCTTAATTATCTAATCGAAAATGTTCCAAAATCAATGCAATTATCATTTGGAAATAAAACAGAATCAGCTTAAATCAAGAATTCAAGTTCTTAAATTGAGAGCAATGAAATGTTTTACACTTCTGTTAATTTAATTTGAATTTATATATAGAGATGTACGTCTTTATCATTATAATAATGATTCTTGTCTAGGCTCTTATTTTAAACCAAAAAATAAATGTGATAAATGTAGTTATCATTTTTTAAGCTGTCATGAAAACAAATTGGTAAAAGTAAAAGATATAATCTACACATTTTCATGTAATCATTTTAGATATAGGCCTCTTCTCAAAGTCTGAAGTAAATTGCGGTCTTGAAATGTTACGATGAGGTCTACTTATTAGTATCGGTAATGAGAATCACAATCTGAATCAGAATCTAATTCAGAAACTGAATCAGAATCTTATTAGGCATATCAATGTTGACACGAACTTCGCTTCCTCTGGCAGGGGAACGCTTCGCATTTGGCTGCACTCGATGTGGGTTGTGGTGGGGGTAGGGAGTGTGTGTGGGGGTGTAGGGGGGGGGATGGCCAATGTATCCGTTGATTTATTGCGCCCTGTGGCAGCTTAATCCGCATCCACCTGCAACTGGCATGCGGAGACCAAGACGACAACGAAGCAGAAGAAAAAGACGAACAGCTGGCAAATACACTCGACCAGTAACTCCAAACGTCAAATGGAAAACACAGAGTGAAGCAGCCGCGGCCAGTACAAGTCAGGCTTAATTATTATTTAAACCGCACCATTTATATGATAAAGTCACTAATACGTGCCACTGAGCGTTGTGCATGTCCAGACCCAGTGGCTGTCGTCTTCACAAGTAAATTAAGTGTTTTTCCTCATCGTTACAGCCAGTAGCGCACTTCAGTCACTTTTGGGCCCAAAAATACCAAATCGATTTCAACTGGAAATTAATACTGATTAAATATTATACAATTCGAATGTCTAATCTAAATTTGTAAACTTCATCTATCAATTGAAGGAATGACTCAGTTTAGTTGACGAATTGTACACCTATTGATGTTTATGGACGTAACTGAATGCTTTAGTTATCAGATTATGCATTTAAAGGGAATATATGAAATATATGAGCATAGACCAGATCACATTTGACATTCAACATTCAACTATCAACTGTACTGTATTAAAGTGATCGTCGATAGTTTTACATATTAGAATATTATGGATGATCTGCTGAATATGATAATTTGATTGTCGAATGCGCACCTGTTGAATGTACCTGGCTGCGCTCCTGTGCGCCCATGTGGCCCTATATAGCGTGACAAAAGTTATTGCTCGAATGCGCCCCTAGACTATTTTGCAGTCGCATCGCAAACTCCGCAAGCGTAAAAATATGAAATGTGCCGCGGATGCAAGTTGCAAGTGCAAAAAAGTGCAGCAAAGTGCAGCAGAGAGAAGTACAGTCCAAGTAAAAGACACATCCACTCAATTCCAATTCATAATTAATATGGCTGCACTTTTCGGCTTGGGTTTGGGTTTGGGTTTTTGGTTTCGAGTGCCTAGTTCGCGTTCGGGCTTAGACACTGCTCGTCTTGGGTTTGGGTTTGGGTTTGCGCTTAGGCTTAGGTTAGGGTCTCAACTTGAGCCTAAGTCTAAGGCTGAGGCTAAGTGTTAAGTCTTGTGAGCGTGTCCAGACTTAACACTTGCGTTACAAGGGCGAGCCGTGAACAATGAACGGCCCAGAGAAACAGAGAGAGAGAGAGAGGAGCTGGATGTTGTTGTTGTGCTTCAGCGAGCACTTGGCCAAGATGCACTCGTAGCTAAGCAAAACCAGCTGCCAGCTGCTAAAGTCGTAGGAACGGCTAGAACGTGTCTCCACTTATATTCGACTTTACTTTACTTAGTTAGTTAACTCGCATGTTTTCTTTTCTTTTATTATTTTTCGGTACAGGTTCACGTTCAGTTTCTGTTTCTGTTTCTGTTTCAGTTTCGGTTTCAGTTCAACGCCATGTTTCATGTATGGAAACCGTAACCGTTCAGTCAACTGACTATCCTTATCACCCCCCTATCCCGTCCGCAAGCAGTTGCCTTCCTTCATTGTCAAAACTAATCAGCGGCATTTGCATGCAGCTCGCAGAATGTGCCCAAAAAGTTTAATGAGCAAAAATTGCGTGGACAAATATGTTCCGGCTGTGCACACAGAGTGCGTGAGCGATGCCCCGAAATATATATCGTGTATAGTATAGTATATATTTTATATGTATCCAAGTCGGCATGAACTGCTTGAAATGCGCACCAGAAACCCTACGCACTTCATAAATTATTTAACAGCTTCGCTCGGCAATTGGAAGGCGGACAATGCTTCTCAGCTTTCGGCTGATGAAGAAGAGAACCAATTTTAATTGCCGGCTACATGACAGGCCTGCCCGAACTAGTGGCAGAGGCAGAGGTATTGCGTGAGGTTTAAGTGGGGGGAGGGAGCTGGGTGGTGCAGGTAACTGAGTGGGTACCATGTCCATATAAAAAATGTGCGAATTTTTGACAACTGCAAAATCGCAAAGAAGAAATCGACCATTGGCAGCAGTCGATTTGAATAGGGGGGTCTGGAGGAGGTGGTCAGTACTGATAGGATGTGGGGGGGGGGTGGTCGGATATTGGTTGGGTGTCATGTAGCAACATAGCAAGACATGATCGCTGCCTCAGCTGATTTATGGCGTGACTGCCGTCAATGGCGTTACAAATTTAGCCTAGCTGCGGTTCGTATTTCTGTTCATGTGCTATACACTCAGAAAAAATCGACGAAAGTGTTTCTTCTTTGTAAAAATAATCTCTAAGTTTTATATTTTTCAGAAATATATTTCATTATAATAGAATATATTTGTATAAATTATATATACAAACTGTTATTAAATCTCAAAATTCTTATGTTTCATAATAATATAACAAACAAAAACTGTTCTATTTATTTTTTTAATTTTAAAAATCATACTTGGAATTAAGGAGTGAAAAATCGTGAATTTTAGAAAGATATCGATAGATCGTTCCGTTTTAGGAATACACTTTCAGATTGGCAAAGTGAGTTACAATTGCCGCTAAAGGCAAATCGATTTTCTAAAATTCAGAGCAATTTTTTTCATAGTGTATGCAACATCCACTCGTACAGACGTATATGCATGCAGTATGTGTGTTGATGTGGATATATTAAGATTAAAGTTTGGGGTCTCATTCATAAACTAATCAATGACGCAGTCGCTTCGCAGAATTTCACACTTTCGACTTCCGCCACGACCCAGAAGTGTTCCCAGAAATCAGGCACTTGTATGGCCATTATTATGCGGGTTCGGTCGCCGTCGCCGTCGCCGTCTCCGTTTTGATCTCGATTGCGATCCCAGCGTTCGTGCGTCGTCTTGAGATCACTTTCTGCTGTTGTTGTTGTTGCATAAATGAATTTCGAGTGGTCAAAGCGAAAGCATTCATATTACTATTAATATAAAAATACAAATAATGCTAATAATAATAATAATCGCAATGGGGAAATATGTCAAACATAAAACAGACCGAAACAATAATGATTGGAAAACATTTATCCGGCAATTATTGTGCTATGTTGCTATGCTATCCAATGGCAAACTCTTATTTGAAGTGCATTTAATTATTCAACTGCCAAATTCCTCAAATGCATTAGATCTGTGATGAAAGCTCACTGATTGATGCTCTTGTTGCTAAGTTGCGTATGTAGAAATTTAGATTCTACAACTAGCAGGTATCGGACAGAAGGAGGCATATTCGCTCTTATAAAGTATATATATATGCTTGATCAGGATCAAGAGCCGAGATCTAGTCCTGTGCGTCCAGCTGTATCAGTCTCAGCACAATCCAGTCTCAGACACTACGCGAGCTAACGATACCAAATATTGAATTGAATTTCTTCTACAGCTAAGTTTATTTAATTTCATCAATAACTCGACCGTTTCTCAAATATTTCGATTTCCGATCCCAACAAAAGCCACAATTTGTAATAATATATATGTATATATATATATTTCTCTATAATATATCTTGTATTATTGATCAAGTATTAATAAATAAATAAAACTAAAAACAAAATATATTTAATAGAATGGTTCAGGGTTAAGGGCATTTCGTAGTCAAGCTCTCTCGACTAGAGCAATATGCTTGTATTTATTTATTTTGTGTTGCAGAATTTTCCTTTGATACGAATACTTGTAGTATAGTGTATAGTGTAGTTTAGTGCGAACTACTTGCAGCTGTGGACAATTAGTGTAATGTCGCATTGGCAGAATTCAGGGCCGAAATGGAAAGAGTTCTTATTGAATGTCATGACTGAGCAGTTAACGGACATCCGGGGACCCCTCAAGCGATTCTACAGCAAATCAAAAATGTGTCATAAATTTTCTTGAATGCTCCATCTCCAGCTGAACAAAGAACCAAGAGCGTCAACGGGAACGGGAACGTGAACGGGAACGGGAATGGGAACAGCAATGGGGGGAGTTGAAGGGGCAGGGGATTGAGGATTGCTCATTTGAGTTGGGTAACCAAAAATTTGACGCTGCGTAATATTAATACTACATTGAATATTGAAGATAAGTAAGCGGAAGGTTGGCATAGAGGGTTGTGGGTGTGCATGTGTCTGTCTGTCTCTGTGTGTGTCTGTGTGTGTGTGTGTGTCTGTCCAAATATTGTGTTCTTGGTGCAAGATGCGTCGTCGCGTC